TCCAGTGTGCACAGACAAATACAGACATAAAACAACATTAAAAGACAAAAGTAAAACAGTAAACAAATGTCACTGTGAAATCGATCGACTAAAACAGTTTCAAAACAAGTGCAAATCATTAAAGTGCTCATGTCCATAGTCTCTGTCCATGGTCTCTGTCCATAGTCTCCTGTCCATAGTGTCCTGTCCATAGTCTCATGTCCATAGTCTCATGTCCATAGTCTCATGTCCTTAGTTTCTGTCCATGGTCTCTGTCCATAGTCTCTGTCCATAGTCTCATGTCCATAGTCTCATGTCCATTGTCTCCTGTCCATAGTCTCTGCCCATAGTCTCTTGTCCATAGTCTCTGTCCATAGTCTCATGTCCATAGTTTCTGTCCATGGTCTCTGTCCATAGTCTCATGTCCATAGTCTCCTGTCCATAGTCTCATGTCCATAGTCTCATGTCCATAGTCTCTGTCCATAGTCTCCTGTCCATTGTCTCTGTCCATAGTCTCTGTCTATAGTCTCTGTCCATAGTCTCCTGTCCATAGTCTCCTGTCCATAGTCTCATGTCCATAGTCTCATGTCTATAGTCTCTGTCCATAGTCTCATGTCCATAGTCTCATGTCCATAGTCTCATGTCCTTAGTTTCTGTCCATGGTCTCTGTCCATAGTCTCTGTCCATAGTCTCATGTCCATAGTCTCATGTCCATAGTCTCCTGTCCATAGTCTCTGCCCATAGTCTCTTGTCCATAGTCTCTGTCCATAGTCTCATGTCCATAGTCTCTGTCCATGGTCTCTGTCCATAGTCTCATGTCCATAGTCTCATGTCCATAGTCTCTGTCCATGGTCTCTGTCCATAGTCTCCTGTCCATTGTCTCTGTCCATAGTCTCTGTCTATAGTCTCTGTCCATAGTCTCCTGTCCATAGTCTCCTGTCCATAGTCTCATGTCCATAGTCTCTGTCCATGGTCTCTGTCCATAGTCTCTGTCCATGGTCTCTGTCGATAGTCTCCTGTCCATAGTCTCTGTCCATGGTCGCTGTCCATAGTCTCATGTCTATAGTCTCTGTCCATAGTCTCATGTCTATAGTCTCTGTCTATAGTCTCATGTCCATAGTCTCTGTCCATTGTCTCATGTCCATAGTCTCATGTCCATAGTTTCTGTCCATGGTCTCTGTCCATAGTCTCTGTCCATAGTCTCATGTCCATAGTTTCTGTCCATGGTCTCTGTCCATAGTCTCATGTCCATTGTCTCCTGTCCATAGTCTCTGTCCATAGTCTCTTGTCCATAGTCTCTGTCCATAGTCTCATGTCCATAGTCTCTGTCCATAGTCTCATGTCCATAGTCTCATGTCCATAGTCTCTGTCCATGGTCTCTGTCCATAGTCTTTGTCCATAGTCTCTGTCCATGGTCTCTGTCCATAGTCTCCTGTCCATAGTCTCTGTCCATAGTGTCATGTCCATAGTCTCTGTCCATGGTCTCTGTCCATAGTCTCATGTCCATAGTCTCATGTCCATAGTCTCCTGTCCATAGTGTCCTGTCCATAGTCTCCTGTCCATAGTCTCATGTCCATAGTCTCATGTCCATAGTCTCTTGTCCATAGTCTCTGTCCATGGTCTCTGTCCATAGTCTCTGTCCATGGTCTCATGTCCATAGTCTCATGTCCATAGTCTCATGTCCATTGTCTCCTGTCCATAGTCTCTGTCCATAGTGTCATGTCCATAGTCTCTGTCCATAGTCTCTGTCCATAGTCTCATGTCCATAGTCTCCTGTCCATAGTGTCCTGTCCATAGTCTCATGTCCATAGTCTCTGTCCATGGTCTCTGTCCATAGTCTCATGTCCATAGTCTCATGTCCACAGTCTCTGTCCATAGTCTCTGTCCATAGTTTCATGTCCATAGTCTCATGTCCATAGTCTCTGTCCATAGTCTCTGTCCATTGTCTCCTGTCCATAGTCTCCTGTCCATAGTCTCTTGTCCTTAGTCTCATGTCCATAGTCTCTGTCCATAGTCTCTTTCCATAGTTTCATGTCCATAGTCTCATGTCCATAGTCTCTGTCCATAGTCTCTGTCCATTGTCTCCTGTCCATAGTCTCTTGTCCTTAGTTTCATGTCCATAGTCTCTGTCCATAGTTTCATGTCCATAGTTTCATGTCCATAGTCTCATGTCCATAGTCTCTGTCCATAGTCTCATGTCCATAGTCTCCTGTCCATAGTTTCATGTCCATAGTCTCATGTCCATAGTCTCTGTCCATTGTCTCCTGTCCATAGTCTCTTGTCCTTAGTTTCATGTCCATAGTCTCATGTCCATAGTCTCTGTCCATAGTCTCATGTCCATAGTCTCCTGTCCATAGTTTCATGTCCATAGTCTCATGTCCATAGTCTCTGTCCATTGTCTCCTGTCCATAGTCTCTTGTCCTTAGTTTCATGTCCATAGTTTCATGTCCATAGTTTCATGTCCATAGTCTCATGTCCATAGTCTCATGTCCATAGTCTCATGTCCATAGTCTCATGTCCATAGTCTCATGTCCATAGTCTCCTGTCCATAGTTTCATGTCCATAGTCTCATGTCCATAGTCTCATGTCCATAGTCTCTGTCCATAGTTTCATGTCCATAGTCTCATGTCCATAGTCTCATGTCCATAGTCTCCTGTCCATAGTCTCATGTCCATAGTCTCATGTCCATAGTCTCTGTCCATAGTCGTATGTCTCTCACTTCCTTTGTGTATCAGAGCTCGTTGCCATATCTGCTGCTTGTTGTTTATAATGTGTGTTTTTATTGTCTGTGTGTGTGTTTATAATGTGTGTGTTTATATTGTGTGTGTATGTGTGTGTGTTTAAAATTTGTGTGTTTTTATATTGTGTGTTCATAATGTGTTTATGTGTGTGTTTATATTGTGTGTGTGTTTATAATGTGTGTGTTTATAATCTGTGTGTGTGTTTATAATGTGTGTGTTGAGGAAAAGGACAAAACTGTCCATAAACTTCTCAAAAACATGATAAAAGTCTTATCCATCGACCTGTTTGACTTTGTGGCTTCTGTTTACCTCAATGATATGTTAAAAATGATGGGCTTCAAAACTACGATACCCAGAATGCAAAGGGCTCTGTTAACTCCGCCCCTCTGGTATTTCTCGCTGTGTGACCCTTGAAGTTGCACGCGTTTCTTGATTTGCCGTCAGATAATCCTCCTAAGGGATTTGGACGGATCATAGACTGCGGCTGTTTCATTCAATATTGAAAACCCAGACCCCAGACTTTAGAGTTTGCTTCTGTCCATAGTCTCATGTCCATAGACTAAAGTCCATAGTCTCATGTCCATAGTCTCATGTCCATAGTCTCATGTCCATAGTCTCATGTCCATAGTCTCATGTCCATAGTCTCATGTCCATAGACTCATGTCCATAGACTCATGTCCATAGACTAAAGTCCATAGTCTCATGTCCATAGTCTCATGTCCATAGTCTCATGTCCATAGTGTCATGTTCATAGACTCATGTCCATAGTCTCATGTCCATAGTCTTATTTCCATAGTCTCATGTCCATAGACTAAAGTCCATAGTCTCATGTCCATAGACTCATGTCCATAGACTCATGTCCATAGTCTCATGTCCATAGTCTCATGTCCATAGTCTCATGTCCATAGACTAAAGTCCATAGTCTCATGTCCATAGTCTCATGTCCATAGTCTCATGTCCATAGTGTCATGTTCATAGACTCATGTCCATAGTCTCATGTCCATAGTCTTATTTCCATAGTCTCATGTCCATGTCCATAGACTCATGTCCATAGTCTCATGTCCATTGTGTCATGTCCAAAGACTTTAGAGTCTGCTTTAGAGTTTATTTTAGAGAATGTTAGAGTTTATGTTGGAGAATGTTGGTTTTTTATTTTATTGATTCAAACGTGTTCCTCATTCTCAACAGTCTTTTCATTTGTTTCCACCCTCAGCCAATCACAGGGCTCTCTGTAGCGGGCCAATCACAGGGCTCTCTGTAATGAGCCAATCACAGGGCTCTCTGTAGCGAGCCAATCACAGGACAATGACAGTGACTCACTGGGCTCTCTAACCCTAGCCCTAACACTAGCCATAGCCCTAATACTAACCCTAGCCCTAACAGTAGCCCGAACACTAGCCCTAGCCCTAATACTAACCCTAGCCCTAACCCTAGCCCTAACCCTAGCCCTAACACTAGCCATAGCCCTAATACTAACCCTAGCCCTAACAGTAGCCCGAACACTAGCCCTAGCCCTAATACTAACCCTAACCCTAACCATAGCCCGAACACTAACCCTAACCCTAACCCAACCCTAATACTAACCCTAGCCTTAACCCTTACCCTAGCCCTAATACTAACCCTAACCCTAACCCAACCCTAATACTAACCCTAGCCCTAACCCTTATCCTAGCCCTAATCCTAACCCTAGCCCTAACACTAGCCCTAATACTAACCCTAGCCCTAACACTAGCCCTAATACTAACCCTAGCCCTAATACTAGCCCTAATACTAACACTAACACTAGCTCCACACATGACCTTTTTCCACATACCTTTAATAATTGATATTTGTTCTTTTTTTTTATAAAAGCTAAGAATAACTTTCTCTTTCTTCGTTCTGGACGAAGCTGATGTCGTCTTCATCAAATATAAAACAGAAACTTCATAATTCATGATTTAGTCCTTTTGCTGTTTTTGTAAAGTTACTTACTACAGGTACTTACTACAGGTACTTACTACAGGTACTTACTACAGGTACTTACTACAGGTTAGGGGTTAACCCTAACCCTCGCTGTGTGAAGGAGAGGTTCCGTAGGTCTTTCCTTCCTGCTGCTGTCAGACTGTACAAAGAGAACTGCTGAGCCTGTACATTTCATTCATCTGTAATTAGGTAAATTCTCAAATGATGTGCAATGTGCAATACTGCAACTTCAGAATGTCTCTTTACCTCATGTCTCTTTACCTCATGTCTCTTTACCTCATGTCTCTTTACCTCATGTCTCTTTACCTCATGTCTCTCATGTCTCTTTACCTCATGTCTCTTTACCTCATGTCTCTTTACCTCATGTCTCTTTACCTCATGTCTCTTATGTCTCTTTACCTCATGTCTCTTTACCTCATGTCTCTTTACCTCATGTCTCTTTATCTCATGTCTCTTTACCTCATGTCTCTTTACCTCATGTCTCTTTACCTCATGTCTCTTTACCTCATGTCTCTTATGTCTCTTTACCTCATGTCTCTTTACCTCATGTCTCTTTACCTCATGTCTCTTTACCTCATGTCTCTTTACCTCATGTCTCTTTACCTCATGTCTCTTTACCTCATGTCTCTTTACCTCATGTCTCTTTACCTCATGTCTCTTATGTCTCTTTACCTCATGTCTCTTTACCTCATGTCTCTCATGTCTCTTTACCTCATGTCTCTTTACCTCATGTCTCTTTACCTCATGTCTCTTATGTCTCTTTACCTCATGTCTCTTTACCTCATGTCTCTTTACCTCATGTCTCTTTACCTCATGTCTCTTTACCTCATGTCTCTTTACCTCATGTCTCTTATGTCTCTTTACCTCATGTCTCTTTACCTCATGTCTCTTTACCTCATGTCTCTTTATCTCATGTCTCTTTACCTCATGTCTCTTTACCTCATGTCTCTTTACCTCATGTCTCTTTACCTCATGTCTCTTATGTCTCTTTACCTCATGTCTCTTTACCTCATGTCTCTTTACCTCATGTCTCTTTACCTCATGTCTCTTTACCTCATGTCTCTTTACCTCATGTCTCTTATGTCTCTTTACCTCATGTCTCTTTACCTCATGTCTCTTTACCTCATGTCTCTTTACCTCATGTCTCTTTACCTCATGTCTCTTTACCTCATGTCTCTTTACCTCATGTCTCTTATGTCTCTTTACCTCATGTCTCTTTACCTCATGTCTCTTTACCTCATGTCTCTTTACCTCATGTCTCTTTACCTCATGTCTCTTTACCTCATGTCTCTTTACCTCATGTCTCTTATGTCTCTTTACCTCATGTCTCTTTACCTCATGTCTCTCATGTCTCTTTACCTCATGTCTCTTTACCTCATGTCTCTTTACCTCATGTCTCTTTATCTCATGTCTCTTTACCTCATGTCTCTTTACCTCATGTCTCTTTACCTCATGTCTCTTATGTCTCTTTACCTCATGTCTCTTTACCTCATGTCTCTTTACCTCATGTCTCTTTACCTCATGTCTCTTTACCTCATGTCTCTTTACCTCATGTCTCTTTACCTCATGTCTCTTATGTCTCTTTACCTCATGTCTCTTTACCTCATGTCTCTCATGTCTCTTTACCTCATGTCTCTTTACCTCATGTCTCTTTACCTCATGTCTCTTTATCTCATGTCTCTTTACCTCATGTCTCTTATGTCTCTTTACCTCATGTCTCTTTACCTCATGTCTCTTTACCTCATGTCTCTTTACCTCATGTCTCTTATGTCTCTTTACCTCATGTCTCTTTATCTCATGTCTCTTTACCTCATGTCTCTTATGTCTCTTTACCTCATGTCTCTTTACCTCATGTCTCTTTACCTCATGTCTCTTTACCTCATGTCTCTTTACCTCATGTCTCTTTATCCCATGTCTCTTTACCTCATGTCTCTTATGTCTCTTTACCTCATGTCTCTTATGTCTCTTTACCTCATGTCTCTTTATCTCATGTCTCTTTACCTCATGTCTCTTATGTCTCTTTACCTCATGTCTCTTATGTCTCTTTACCTCATGTCTCTTATGTCTCTTTACCTCATGTCTCTTTACCTCATGTCTCTTTACCTCATGTCTCTTTACCTCATGTCTCTTTACCTCATGTCTCTTTACCTCATGTCTCTTTACCTCATGTCTCTTTACCTCATGTCTCTTTACCTCATGTCTCTTTACCTCATGTCTCTTTACCTCATGTCTCTTATGTCTCTTTACCTCATGTCTCTTTACCTCATGTCTCTTTACCTCATGTCTCTTTACCTCATGTCTCTTTACCTCATGTCTCTTTACCTCATGTCTCTTTACCTCATGTCACTTTACCTCATGTCTCTTTACCTCATGTCTCTTTACCTCATGTCTCTTTACCTCATGTCTCTTTACCTCATGTCACTTTACCTCATGTCTCTCATGTCTCTTTACCTCATGTCTCTTTACCTCATGTCTCTTTACCTCATGTCTCTTTACCTCATGTCTCTCATGTCTCTTTACCTCATGTCTCTTTACCTCATGTCTCTTTACCTCATGTCTCTTATGTCTCTTTACCTCATGTCTCTTTACCTCATGTCTCTTTACCTCATGTCTCTTTACCTCATGTCTCTTTACCTCATGTCTCTCATGTCTCTTTACCTCATGTCTCTTTACCTCATGTCTCTTTACCTCATGTCTCTTATGTATCTTTACCTCATGTCTCTTTACCTCATGTCTCTTTACCTCATGTCTCTTTACCTTATGTCTCTTTACCTCATGTCTCTTTACCTCATGTCACTTTACCTCATGTCTCTTTACCTCATGTCACTTTACCTCATGTCTCTTTACCTCATGTCTCTTTACCTCCTGTCTCTTTACCTCATGTCTCTTTACCTCATGTCTCTTTACCTCATGTCACTTTACCTCATGTCTCTTTACCTCATGTCTCTTTACCTCATGTCTCTTTACCTCCTGTCTCTTTACCTCATGTCTCTTTACCTCATGTCTCTTTACCTCATGTCTCTTTACCTCATGTCTCTTTACCTCCTGTCTCTTTACCTCATGTCTCTTATGTCTCTTTACCTCATGTCTCTTTACCTCATGTCTCTTTACCTCATGTCTCTTTACCTCCTGTCTCTTTACCTCATGTCTCTTTACCTCATGTCTCTTATGTCTCTTTACCTCATGTCTCTTTACCTCATGTCTCTTTACCTCATGTCTCTTTACCTCATGTCTCTTTACCTCCTGTCTCTTTACCTCATGTCTCTTATGTCTCTTTACCTCATGTCTCTTTACCTCATGTCTCTTTACCTCATGTCTCTTTACCTCATGTCTCTTTACCTCATGTCTCTTTACCTCATGTCTCTTTACCTCCTGTCTCTTTACCTCATGTCTCTTTACCTCATGTCTCTTTACCTCATGTCTCTTTACCTCATGTCTCTTTACCTCATGTCTCTTTACCTCATGTCTCTTTACCTCATGTCTCTTTACCTCATGTCTCTTTACCTCATGTCTCTTTACCTCATGTCTCTTTACCTCATGTCTCTTATGTCTCTTTACCTCATGTCTCTCATGTCTCTCATGTCTCTTTACCTCATGTCTCTTTACCTTATGTCTCTTTACCTCATGTCTCTTTACCTCATGTCTCTTTACCTCATGTCTCTTTACCTCATGTCTCTTTACCTTATGTCTCTTTACCTCATGTCTCTTTACCTCATGTCTCTTTACCTCATGTCTCTTTACCTCATGTCTCTTATGTCTCTTTACCTCATGTCTCTTTACCTCATGTCTCTTTACCTCATGTCTCTTTACCTCATGTCTCTTTACCTCATGTCTCTTATGTCTCTTTACCTCATGTCTCTTTACCTCATGTCTCTTTACCTCATGTCTCTTTACCTCATGTCTCTCATGTCTCTTTACCTCATGTCTCTTTACCTCATGTCTCTTTACCTCATGTCTCTTTATCTCATGTCTCTTTACCTCATGTCTCTTATGTCTCTTTACCTCATGTCTCTTTACCTCATGTCTCTTTACCTCATGTCTCTTTATCTCATGTCTCTTTACCTCATGTCTCTTATGTCTCTTTACCTCATGTCTCTTATGTCTCTTTACCTCATGTCTCTTTATCTCATGTCTCTTTACCTCATGTCTCTTATGTCTCTTTACCTCATGTCTCTTATGTCTCTTTACCTCATGTCTCTTATGTCTCTTTACCTCATGTCTCTTTACCTCATGTCTCTTTACCTCATGTCTCTTTACCTCATGTCTCTTTACCTCATGTCTCTTTACCTCATGTCTCTTTACCTCATGTCTCTTTACCTCATGTCTCTTTACCTCATGTCTCTTATGTCTCTTTACCTCATGTCTCTTTACCTCATGTCTCTTTACCTCATGTCTCTTATGTCTCTTTACCTCATGTCTCTTTACCTCATGTCTCTTTACCTCATGTCTCTTTACCTCATGTCTCTTTACCTCATGTCTCTTATGTCTCTTTACCTCATGTCTCTTTACCTCATGTCTCTTTACCTCATGTCTCTTTACCTCATGTCTCTTTACCCTCATGTCTCTTTACCTCATGTCTCTTTACCTCATGTCTCTTTACCTCATGTCTCTTTACCTCATGTCTCTTTACCTCATGTCTCTTTACCTCATGTCTCTTATGTCTCTTTACCTCATGTCTCTTTACCTCATGTCTCTTATGTCTCTTTACCTCATGTCTCTTTACCTCATGTCTCTTTACCTCATGTCTCTTTACCTCATGTCTCTTTACCTCATGTCTCTTATGTCTCTTTACCTCATGTCTCTTTACCTCATGTCTCTTTACCTCATGTCTCTTTACCTCATGTCTCTTTACCTCATGTCTCTTTACCTCATGTCTCTTTACCTCATGTCTCTTATGTCTCTTTACCTCATGTCTCTTTACCTCATGTCTCTTTACCTCATGTCTCTTTACCTCATGTCTCTTATGTCTCTTTACCTCATGTCTCTTATGTCTCTTTACCTCATGTCTCTTTACCTCATGTCTCTTTACCTCATGTCTCTTATGTCTCTTTACCTCATGTCTCTTTACCTCATGTCTCTTATGTCTCTTTACCTCATGTCTCTTTACCTCATGTCTCTTTACCTCATGTCTCTTTACCTCATGTCTCTTTACCTCATGTCTCTTTACCTCATGTCTCTTTACCTCATGTCTCTTTACCTCATGTCTCTTTACCTCATGTCTCTTTACCTCATGTCACTTTACCTCATGTCTCTTTACCTCATGTCTCTTTACCTCATGTCTCTTATGTCTCTTTACCTCATGTCTCTTTACCTCATGTCTCTTTACCTCATGTCTCTTTACCTCATGTCTCTTTACCTCATGTCTCTTTACCTCATGTCTCTTTACCTCATGTCTCTTTACCTCATGTCTCTTATGTCTCTTTACCTCATGTCTCTTTACCTCATGTCTCTTTACCTCATGTCTCTTTACCTCATGTCTCTTTACCTCATGTCTCTTTACCTCATGTCTCTTTACCTCATGTCTCTTTACCTCATGTCTCTTTACCTCATGTCTCTTTACCTCATGTCTCTTTACCTCATGTCTCTTTACCTCATGTCTCTTATGTCTCTTTACCTCATGTCTCTTTACCTCATGTCTCTTTACCTCATGTCTCTTTACCTCATGTCTCTTTACCTCATGTCTCTTTACCTCATGTCTCTTTACCTCATGTCTCTTTACCTCATGTCACTTTACCTCATGTCTCTTTACCTCATGTCTCTTTACCTCATGTCTCTTATGTCTCTTTACCTCATGTCTCTTTACCTCATGTCACTTTACCTCATGTCTCTTTACCTTATGTCTCTTTACCTCATGTCTCTTTACCTCATGTCTCTTATGTCTCTTTACCTCATGTCTCTTTACCTCATGTCTCTTATGTCTCTTTACCTCATGTCTCTTTACCTCATGTCTCTTTACCTCATGTCTCTTTACCTCATGTCTCTTTACCTCATGTCTCTTTACCTCATGTCTCTTTACCTCATGTCTCTTTACCTCATGTCTCTTTACCTCATGTCACTTTACCTCATGTCTCTTTACCTCATGTCTCTTTACCTCATGTCTCTTTACCTCATGTCTCTTTACCTCATGTCTCTTTACCTCATGTCTCTTTACCTCATGTCACTTTACCTCATGTCTCTTTACCTCATGTCTCTTTACCTCATGTCTCTTTACCTCATGTCTCTTTACCTCATGTCTCTTATGTCTCTTTACCTCATGTCTCTTTACCTCATGTCTCTTTACCTCATGTCACTTTACCTCATGTCTCTTTACCTCATGTCTCTTTACCTCATGTCTCTTTACCTCATGTCTCTTTACCTCATGTCTCTTTACCTCATGTCTCTTTACCTCATGTCTCTTTACCTCATGTCTCTTTACCTCATGTCTCTTTACCTCATGTCTCTCATGTCTCTTTACCTCATGTCTCTTTACCTCATGTCTCTTTACCTCATGTCTCTTTACCTCATGTCTCTTATGTCTCTTTACCTCATGTCTCTTTACCTCATGTCTCTTTACCTCATGTCTCTTTACCTCATGTCTCTTTACCTTATGTCTCTTATGTCTCTTTACCTCATGTCTCTTTACCTCATGTCTCTTTACCTCATGTCTCTTTACCTCATGTCTCTTTACCTCATGTCTCTTTACCTCATGTCTCTTTACCTTATGTCTCTTTACCTTATGTCTCTTATGTCTCTTTACCTCATGTCTCTTTACCTCATGTCTCTTTACCTTATGTCTCTTTACCTCATGTCTCTTTACCTCATGTCTCTTTACCTCATGTCTCTTTACCTCATGTCTCTTTACCTCATGTCTCTTTACCTCATGTCTCTTTACCTCATGTCTCTTTACCTCATGTCTCTTTACCTCATGTCTCTTATGTCTCTTTACCTCATGTCTCTTTACCTCATGTCTCTTTACCTCATGTCTCTTTACCTCATGTCTCTTTACCTCATGTCTCTTTACCTCATGTCTCTTTACCTTATGTCTCTTTACCTTATGTCTCTTATGTCTCTTTACCTCATGTCTCTTTACCTCATGTCTCTTTACCTTATGTCTCTTTACCTCATGTCTCTTTACCTCATGTCTCTTTACCTCATGTCTCTTTACCTCATGTCTCTTTACCTCATGTCTCTTTACCTCATGTCTCTTTACCTCATGTCTCTTTACCTCATGTCTCTTTACCTCATGTCTCTTATGTCTCTTTACCTCATGTCTCTTTACCTCATGTCTCTTATGTCTCTTTACCTCATGTCTCTTTACCTCATGTCTCTTTACCTCATGTCACTTTACCTCATGTCTCTTTACCTTATGTCTCTTTACCTCATGTCTCTCATGTCTCTTTACCTCATGTCTCTTTACCTCATGTCTCTTTACCTCATGTCTCTTTATCTCATGTCTCTTTACCTCATGTCTCTTTACCTCATGTCTCTTTACCTCATGTCTCTTTACCTCATGTCTCTTTACCTCATGTCTCTTATGTCTCTTTACCTCATGTCTCTTTACCTCATGTCTCTTTACCTCATGTCTCTTTACCTCATGTCTCTTTACCTCATGTCTCTTTACCTCATGTCTCTTTACCTTATGTCTCTTTACCTTATGTCTCTTATGTCTCTTTACCTCATGTCTCTTTACCTCATGTCTCTTTACCTTATGTCTCTTTACCTCATGTCTCTTTACCTCATGTCTCTTTACCTCATGTCTCTTTACCTCATGTCTCTTTACCTCATGTCTCTTTACCTCATGACACTTTACCTCATGTCTCTTTACCTCATGTCTCTTTACCTCATGTCTCTCATGTCTCTTTACCTCATGTCTCTCATGTCTCTTTACCTCATGTCTCTTTACCTCATGACACTTTACCTCATGTCTCTTTACCTCATGTCTCTCATGTCTCTTTACCTCATGTCACTTTACCTCATGTCTCTCATGTCTCTTTACCTCATGTCTCTTATGTCTCTTTACCTCATGTCACTTTACCTCATGTCTCTTTACCTCATGTCTCTTTACCTCATGTCTCTTTACCTTATGTCTCTTTACCTCATGTCTCTTTACCTTATGTCTCTTATGTCTCTTTACCTCATGTCTCTTTACCTCATGTCTCTTTACCTTATGTCTCTTTACCTCATGTCTCTTTACCTCATGTCTCTTTACCTCATGTCTCTTTACCTCATGTCTCTTTACCTCATGTCTCTTTACCTCATGTCTCTCATGTCTCTTTACCTCATGTCTCTCATGTCTCTTTACCTCATGTCTCTTTACCTCATGACACTTTACCTCATGTCTCTTTACCTCATGTCTCTCTCATGTCTCTTTACCTCATGTCTCTTTACCTCATGTCTCTTTACCTCATGTCTCTTTACCTCATGACACTTTACCTCATGTCTCTTTACCTCATGTCTCTTTATCTCATGTCTCTTTACCTCATGTCTCTTTACCTCATGTCTCTTTACCTCATGTCTCTTTACCTCATGTCTCTTTACCTCATGTCTCTTTACCTCATGTCTCTTTACCTCATGTCTCTTTACCTCATGTCTCTTTACCTCATGTCTCTTTACCTCATGTCTCTTTACCTCATGTCACTTTACCTCATGACACTTTACCTCATGTCTCTTTACCTCATGTCTCTTTACCTCATGTCTCTTTACCTCATGTCTCTTTACCTCATGTCTCTTTACCTCATGTCTCTTTACCTCATGTCTCTTTACCTCATGTCTCTCATGTCTCTTTACCTCATGTCTCTTTACCTCATGTCTCTCATGTCTCTTTACCTCATGTCTCTTTACCTCATGTCTCTTTACCTCATGTCTCTTTACCTCATGTCTCTCATGTCTCTTTACCTCATGTCTCTTTACCTCATGTCTCTTTACCTCATGTCTCTTATGTCTCTTTACCTCATGTCTCTCATGTCTCTTTACCTCATGTCTCTTTACCTCATGTCTCTTATGTCTCTTTACCTCATGTCTCTCATGTCTCTTTACCTCATGTCTCTTTACCTCAGTCTTTATGTCTCTTTACCTCATGTCTCTTTACCTCATGTCTCTCATGTCTCTTTACCTCATGTCTCTTTACCTCATGTCTCTTTACCTCATGTCTCTTTACCTCATGTCTCTTTACCTCATGTCTCTCATGTCTCTTTACCTCATGTCTCTTTACCTCATGTCTCTCATGTCTCTTTACCTCGTGTCTCTTTACCTCATGTCTCTTTACCCTCATGTCTCTTTACCTCATGTCTCTTTACCTCATGTCTCTTTGCCTCATGTCTCTTTACCTCATGTCACTTTACCTCATGTCTCTTTACCTCATGTCTCTTTACCTCATGTCTCTTTACCTCATGTCTCTTTACCTCATGTCACTTTACCTCATGTCTCTTTACCTCATGTCTCTTTGCCTCATGTCTCTCATGTCTCTTTACCTCATGTCTCTTTACCTCATGTCTCTTTACCTCATGTCTCTCATGTCTCTTTACCTCATGTCTCTTTACCTCACAGCAGCATGAAGGAAAGACCTACGGAACCTCTCCTTCGCACAGCGAGGGTGAATAATAATGCATCGGTTTTATATCGCGCTTTTTGGATACTCAAAGACGCGTCACATGTCATTATTCATTCACCTTCAGTATTAGAGTCTGAAGCTTCAGTATGAAAGTCTGGGGTAAAGAAGGGCGTCTGTAGAGAATATTAGTTCTGCTCCAGATATAAACAATAGAGCTTTGAGAAACTCTGTATCATTGCTTTGTGTAAAACTTATGAACGGATGACTATAATTACAGGCTAATATTTAAGGCACAGCTAGAAGAAAGATCAAAGGAAATAAGTTTATATTCGTCACATTTACATCATTAAAGTAGCAGTATGTAATATTTTCATGTAAAGTCATCATTAAATGGCCCCCATATTTCAAAAGACGTTATTAAATCATGCTCTTTTCGAATACATCTTTAACTGATAACAGTAATTCAGCTGAGATATTTGATTATCAAAATTAGTTTTACCACCCGTAAAAGTTGTTATTGTTTTGATTTTGATGTCCTACCCTCCGCCGTTTCGCCAATCAGGAAGTGTCATGTAAGTCCGTGATCGGGTTGCCAGAACTCCGTGCGGCTCATTAATCTCAGTGGTAAAATAACATGTGGCGCAGAACTAAAAAAGGTCTTGTTATGACTCTCAAATAATTAATGACAAAACAAAGACTAAAACGAGGATTTATATCGGGATGCCTTTGAACAATTGAGACGGCTGATAAGTTTTCGTGTGATGCAAAATTTCCTGGTTTGGTTCCGTTCTTCAGACTAACATGTACAACATGAATTGCTGGTCTAGTGGTTAAGACCATGTGCTCACGATGCAGGAATCCGGGTTCGATTCTGGGCAGAGCCTTTTTGTATTTAATGCATGTTATCACATTCTATGACAGATTGCTCTAAATACGGTAAAAGACAAAGGTCAAGACGTTTTTTTGCAGATTATAGCTTAATTGTAAAAAGAATAATTTGAGACCACATGTACCCCAAATAAAATAATGTTAGTCTCTTTTTGATGTGGGACTTTTACATGTTTGTCTCAAAAATAGGGAATGAATAAAATTGAAAGGTGATATCCTCTTGAGCAAACCCTGATGTTGATACGCTGAAGAAATACGTTCCAACATCCTTTCTTCCCACTCTTATTTTGGACATCAATTGCTTATTTATTTTGGATAATCTATAATTACATTGCTTTTATTTTGTTTTTGTTTTTTATCTCAAATGTCCAAATAAAAGAATAAAAATAAACATTCATTCAACATTAGCATGCCTCATGGCAATGTGAATGGAGACAGACAAACAACTGATAAAATAATTCCCTGTGTTTGCTGCTGGATTTGGTGTGTATCTGGCAACCTGAGTCAGGGAGAGTGGGAGAGGATTACAAAATATTGACTGTGACTGCAGTACCACTTTTGGCCTTTTTACACATTGTTCCTTTAATGGAATCACAAATGGGATGCGCATGTTAGAGACTGTTGATGATTTTAAGTCCCAACTTAAGACGCATTTGTTTAGTCAGGCTTTTATTATTATTATTTATTTGTTTATTTAATATGGACATAACAATAACATTGGACGAACCAGATGCACTGCTACAAGTGTTATAGCACAGGTGCTAATTTTCAACACTAGTCCACAGGGGGTTTTTACACTACAGAAGATAAAAGGCATTTAAAAGAATTACAATAAAGTTTACACATGAGAACAAGTCTGTCTGGATCTTAACCACTGTTTGAGCTCACTGCTGAAGATGGTCATGTTAGTCTGTAGTTTTAGCCTGGTGGGGAGAGAGTTTCACAGTTTAACCCCCCCAAAGGAGAAGCTGGATTGTCCAAAAGATGTTCTGAGCTTTGGGAGCACACAGTCCCCACTGACGGCGCCTCTGGTGGAGGCTCTGAGAGCAGACTGGCGTTTCAGCATGAGCCCAGAGAACAGAGGTGACACACAGTTGTTCACACATTTAAAAGCCAATTTTAAAATTGATAAATTTACAAAGTTATGGAAAGTAAAAAGTTTGTGCTTCTGTATGATGTCACAATGATGCCATCTCATTGGTTTCTTGTCCATGATCTTAATTGTCTGCTTATACAGAGAGGTTACTGGTTTGAGAATGGAAACTGATGTTTGAGACCATGCTGTGACACAATAGGACAGATGTGAAAAGACCATTGCGTGCATATATAAAACAGCAGCATGGTGGGGTAACTCTTCTGATAAAACAAAAACAGATAAGATTGGATTTCTTCTTACAAACATGCTTAACGTGACTTTGATACTTCAGATATTTATCCAATATAGGGGGGGGGGGGACCAGGGTGTACTGTCCGAGGTGGGGGCTGGGGATGTGGGGGCAGGAGGGCCCGGTGCAGCCGGAGGCAGTGTCCACTGGGCGGTGTCCACTGGGCTGGGGACGTGTGAAGAGGTGGGGGCGGGAGGGGGGGCAGATGGAGAGGGGGGAGAATCAAACCGGTTGAAGTACTGGTTAAATTCATCCGCCCGGTGCTGGTCTCCATCCGCTGTTCCTCTGGCACTCTGTCCAGAGCCGGAGATGTTCTTTAGGCCTCTCCACACGTCGCAGGCGTTTCCCTGGGCCAGCTTCTGCTCCAGCTTTTTCCCATAGTCCTTCTTGGCCCTCCTGAGCCTCCACTGGAGCTCGTGCTGGATCCTCTGCTCCTCCCTGTCCCCTGAGATGAAAGCCCTTTGAGGTTCAGGAGGGCTTTAAGCTCAGGGGTCACCCATGGGTGGTTGTTAGAAAAACACCGCACCTTCTTAGTTGGTACAGTGTTATCCACACAGAAGAGAATATAGTCTGTAATGCAGTGTGTCAGGCTCTCCATGTCCTCACCATGAGAGCAAACATCATTTCCCAATCAGTGTTTTGAAAACAATCTCTCAGCATCTCATCCACATCATCGCTCCACACTTTTACAATCCTCTTCTGCGCTGGATTTCTTCTCACCACTGGTGTGTATTCCGGAGACAGACGGACCAGGCTGTGATCAGAGCGTCCGAGAGGGGGGAGGGGGGAGGAGGCGTATGCGTCCCGCACATTAACATACAGTAGGTCCAGAGTCTTATTGCCACGAGTTGGGCACGTGACATACTGTTTGAATGTCGGGAGAGTGGCGGAGAGGGAGGCGTGGTTAAAGTCTCCGCTGATCAGAATCAGAGCGCGGGGACTGCGGGTCTGGATCTGGGTCACAGTTCTGTGTATCCCCTCACATGCCGCGGCCCCGTCTCCTGACACATAGAACCACGGTGTGTGAAAACTCCCGTGGCAGATACCTGGGTCTCATGCTCACAGCGAGCAGCTCCATGTCCTGGGTGCATGTACGCTGGACCACATGCACGTGCGTCGGGATGCACCACTGCTCGTTCACGTAGACCGCGACACCCCCGCCTTTCCTCTTCCCACTCCCCTCCGCGCAGCGGTCCGCTCGCACAAGTTTAAATCCCTCCAGCGCGACCACAGAGTCCGGTATATTCCCACACAGCCACGTCTCAGAGAAACACATAAGTCCACATTGTCTGTACTCTTTATGATGGCGGACCAGTGCGGTCAGCTCCTCAGTCTTATTAGAGATGGACCGTACGTTCCCCATGAGGATGGGAGTCTCTTCTTCCTCTTTCGGCCTCCTCTGGAGCCCCTGCGTCTCCTACGGATCTCCAAGGGGATCACCGGCTTCTCTGAGTGCCAGAAAGCGGAGTCTCTAAGTCCGAGAAGCTGCTCCCGTGTGTAAACAATGGGACACGCTGGTCTCGTGGCTCTGTGAGCGGAGGACTCCGAAAAAAGTGCTGAAGACATGTTAATCCAGTGAGAAAGTCCACGAGGCTAGGCTTCCCGTGTGCACAATGAACAAATAAACGCTTGTCTACGAAAAATAAAAATAAAAAAGCACATCTACAAGAAATAAATAGAGAAAGGGTCGGAAAGAGAAGAGAGCCAAAGTGACGAGCTGCACAGCGGGAGCTTTCTCGCCTCACTGTTCATAGGCCTCTGTGAACTGTCCATAGGCCTCTGTGAACTGTTCATAGTCCTCAGTGAACTTTCCATAGGCCTCTGTGAACTGTCCATAGTCCTCAGTGAACTGTCCATAGGCCTCTGTGAACTGTTCATAGTCCTCAGTGAACTGTCCATAGGCCTCTGTGAACTGTCCATAGTCCTCAGTGAACTGTCCATAGGCCTCTGTGAACTGTTCATAGTCCTCAGTGAACTGTTCTTAGGCCTCTGTGAACTGTCCATAGGCCTCTGTGAACTGTCCATAGGCCTCTGTGAACTGTTCATAGGCCTTTGTGAACTGTCCATAGGCCTCTGTGAACTGTCCATAGGCCTCTGTGAACTGTTCTTAGGCCTCTGTGAACTGTTCTTAGGCCTCTGTGAACTGTTCTTAGGCCTCTGTGAACTGTTCATAGGCCTCAGTGAACTGTTCTTAGACCTCTGTGAACTGTTCTTAGGCCTCTGTGAACTGTTCATAGGCCTCTGTGAATTGTTCTTAGGCCTCTGAACTGTTCTTAGGCCTCTGTGAACTGTTATTAGGCCTCTGTGAACTGTTCATAGGCCTCAGTGAACTGTTCTTAGACCTCTGTGAACTGTTCATAGGCCTCTGTGAACTGTTCTTAGGCCTTTGTGAACTGTTCTTAGACCTCTGTGAACTGTTCATAGGCCTCTGTGAATTGTTCTTAGGCCTCTGAACTGTTCTTAGGCCTCTGTGCTGTTATTAGGCCTCGTGAACTGTTCATAGGCCTCAGTGAACTGTTCTTAGACCTCTGTGAACTGTTCATAGGCCTCTGTGAACTGTTCTTAGGCCTTTGTGAACTGTTCTTAGACCTCTGTGAACTGTTCATAGGCCTCTGTGAACTGTTCTTAGGCCTCTGAACTGTGTAAACTGTGTTTTTGTTTTTAAATCTGACTTGTGTATTTGATGTGTTTTAATCTGTGAAGCGCTTTGTGAATTGCGCTACACAGATAAACTTTACTTACTTACTTACTGAAATAACTTGGTCTTTGAAGGTTCATCTACAGCAGTATGTGTATATTGAAAATATATGTGTGTATGTATGTATATATACATATAGTATACAGAGGGGCAAAAAAGTATTTAGTCAGCCACCGATTGTGCAAGTTCTCCCACTTAAAATAATGACAGAGGTCTGTAATTTTCATCATAGGTTCACTTCCACTGTGAGAGACAATTGTAGGATTTTTTAAAAATGTTTTTGTAAATTATGGTGGAAAATAAGTATTTGGTCAATAACAAAAATTCAACTCAATACTTTGTAATATAACCTTTGTTGGCAATAACAGAGGTCAAACAATTACTATAGGTCTTTACCAGGTTTGCACACACAGTAGCTGGTATTTTGGCCCATTCCTCCATGCAGATCTTCTCGAGAGCAGTGAACACAAACTTTCAACTCCCTCCACAGATGTTCAATGGGGTTGAGGTCTGGAGACTGGCTAGGCCACTCCAGGACTTTCAAATGCTTCTTACGGAGCCACTCCTTCGTTGCCCGGGCGGTGTGTTTGGGATCATTGTCATGCTGGAAGACCCAGCCACGTTTCATCTTCAAAGCTCTCACTGATGGAAGGAAGTTTTGGCTCAAAATCTCACAATACATGGCCCCGTTCATTCTTTCCTTAACACCGATCAGTCGTCCTGTCCCCTTAGCAGAAAAACAGCCCCAAGGCATGACGTTTCCACCCCCATGCTTCACAGTAGGTATGGTGTTCTTGGGATGCAACTCAGTATTCTTCTTCCTCCAAACATGACGAGTTGAGTTTATACCAAACAGTTGTACTTTGGTTTCATCTGACCACATGACATTCTCCCAATCCTCTGCTGTATCATCCATGTGCTCTCTGGCAAACTTCAGACGGGCCTGGACATGCAATGTCTGGCACTGCAGGATTTGATTCCCTGTCGTCGTAGTGTGTTACTGATGGTAACCTTTGTTACTCTGGTCCCAGCTCTCTGCAGGTCATTCACCAGGTCCCCCCGTGTGGTTCTGGGATTTTTGATCACCGTTCTCATGATCATTTTGACCCCACGGGATGAGATCTTGCGTGGAGCCCCAGATCGAGGGAGATTATCAGTGGTCTTGTATGTCTTCCATTTTCTGATAATTGCTCCCACAGTTGATTTGTTTACACCAAGCTGCTTGCCTATTGTAGATTCACTCTTCCCAGTCTGGTGCAGGTCTACAATTCTTTTCCTGGTGTCCTTCGACAGCTCTTTGGTCTTGGCCATAGTGGAGTTTGGAGTCTGGCTGTTTGAGGCTGTGGACAGGTGTCTTTTATACAAATAACGAGTTCAAACAGGTGCCATTAATACAGTGGAGGACAGAAGAGCTTCTAAAAGAAGAAGTTACAGTACTTAACAACTATCGTCCCATCTCAAATCTGCCATTTATGGGGAAAGTCCTTGAGAAAGTTGTCTACCTACAGCTTACTAGATCTCTTATAATCAACAACTCATTTGATATGTTTCAGTCCGGCTTTAGACCCCACCACAGCACTGAGACTGCTCTTGTTAAGGTTACAAACAATATCCGGCTGAACACTGACGCAGGCAAAGTCTCAATCTTAATCTTGTTAGAGCTGAGTGCTGCCTTTGACACCGCTCCTCTTACAGAGATTAGAGGACTGGGTTGGCGTCGCTGGCACCGCCCTAAGTTGGTTTAGGTCTTACCTTGAGGACAGGAAGTACTTTGTGGAGATTGGAAACTGTGTCTCAGATCATATGGCCCTGACCTGTGTGGTACCACAGGGGTCGATCCTGGGACCTCTTCTGTTCAATCTCTACATGCTGCCGTTAGGTCAGTTAATACGCAGAAACAAAGTTTCCTATCATAACTATGCAGACGACACTCAGATCTATGTCTCACTGACTGCAGGAGAACATGGACCAGTGGACTCACTCCTTCACTGTATCCAACAGATCAGTGAGTGGATGCAAAACAACTTCCTTCGGCTAAACGCAGACAAAACTGAAATGATTGTCTTTGGTCCCCAGAAACAAAGAGAGAGCGTCATCTGTCACCTCCAGTCTCTCTCCCTAAAACCTTCAAACAAGGTCAGAAATCTAGGGGTAATACTGGACTCAGACTTACATTTTAATAGCCACATCAAATCTGTAACATCAGCAGCTTTTTACCATCTAAAAAACATTGCCAGGATCAAAAACATAGTGTCTAAAGCAGACCTGGAGATTCTTATCCATGCATTTGTCTCCAGTAGGTTAGACTACTGCAATGGCCTGCTCACAGGTCTGTCCAAACAGGCTGTAAAACAGCTGCAGTACATTCAAAATGCAGCAGCTCCAGTCCTGACTAGAACCAGGAAGTATGACCACATTAGTCCTGACTAGAACCAGGAAGTACGACCACATTAGTCCTGACTAGAACCAGGAAGTACGACCACATTAGTCCTGACTAGAACCAGGAAGTACAACCACATTAGTCCAGTTCTCAGGTCTCTGCACTGGCTTCCTGTGGCTCAGAGAATAGACTTTAAAACAGCTCTGCTTGTTACAAGTCTCTCCATGGCCTCGCACCAAAATATATTAGTGACATGTTAGTCCCATACGAACCAGCCCGGACTCTGAGGAGCACAGGGACTGGACTCCTGCTGGGACTCTGAGGAGCACAGGGACTGGACTCCTGTTAGTGCCCAGAGTCAGAACTAAACATGGGGAGGCTCCTTTTCAGATTCATGCTGCTAAAATCTGGAACGGTCTTCCTGAAGATGTGAGACAGGCCTCCTCTCTGACAATGTTTAAAACCAGGTTAAAGACAGTTCTGTTTAGCTGTGCTACAACTGAGGGATTTTATATTTTTATATTTCTTTTTAATGTTCTCTGATTATTTATGATTTTAATGCTTTCTTGTTTTGTTCAGCACTTTGAATTGCCTTGTGTATGAATTGTGCTATATAAATAAACTTGCCTTGCCTTACAGGTCTGTGAGAGCCAGAAATCTTCCTTGTTTGAAGTGACCAAATACTTATTTTCCACCATAATTTACAAATAAATTCTTAAAAAATCCTACAATGTGAATTCCTGGATTTTTTTTTCACATTCTGTCTCTCACAGTTGAAGTGAATCTATGATGAAAATTACAGACCTCTGTCATTATTTTAAGTGGGAGAACTTGCACAATCGGTGGCTGACTGGTTTCTGGGTTTAACTCTGTCTAACGACCTGAAATGGGTTAAAAACACTGACCAAGTCGTTAAGAAAGCTCGTCAGCGTCTCTACTTTCTGCGTAAACTTAGAGAATTTACCACTAACTCTAAGATTGTGCTTAACTTTTATGGCTGCACCATTGAGAGTTTACTTGTTTGTTCTGTGTCTGTGTGGTTTGGAAACATCACAGATAAAGAAAAGAGAGCTTTAAACAAGGTGCTCCGCTCTGCAAAGAGGACCGTGGGCTGTGAGCTTCCTGTTCTGGAGGTTCTTTATAAATCCACACTTTTAAACAAAGCTCTTAGGATTGTTAATGACTCTTCTGGCCACCCTGGGAAAGCCATGTTCCAGCTTCTTCCCTCTGGCAGAAGATATCGCTCTCTGAGATGCAGGACATCTCGTTACGCTAACAGTTTTTATCCACAGGCTGTTATCAGTGTGAACAGAGCACTTTAATGATTTGCACTTGTTTGAACTGTTTTAGTCGATCCATTTCACAATGACATTTGTTTACTGTTTTATTTGTTTTATGTCTGTATTTGTCTGTGCACACTGGAGACTTTTGCTAATGTATTCCAATGTGTTTTTTTTTACTGCAAATGACAAATAAACTGAATCTGAATCTGACTAAATACTTTTTTGCCCCACTGTATATGTGTGTATGTGTGTGTATATATTATTTGTGTAAGCCCTCAGTGGTACAGGGATTAGTCAAAGCAAAGGAAGGTTTCTCACCCATCATCTGTACTTCTTAGCAAGTTTTAGCAGTATATATTATATTTGTTTGTAAATATAGAGCAGGGGTTAGGGTGTCTGTGGTTCTAAAGTCTTATACTGAACATGTGTCTGTGGTTCTAAAGTCTTATACTGAACGTGTGTCTGTGGTTCTAAAGCCTTCTTCTTGTAGAGAGGGACCACCACCCCGGTCTGCCACTGGTAATGCCAATGGTAATGCCAATGGTACCGCCCCCGATCACCACACGATGTTGCAGAGACGTGTCAGCCAAGACAGTCCTACAACATCCAGAGACTTTAGAGTCAGGACGGATCTCATCCACTCCCGGGGCCTTGCCACCATGGAGGCTGTCAACCACCTTTGGCGACCTCTGCCTCTGCCTCCTGAACGTAGGACGTGACGGGGGGATTGAGGAGAACCTCGAAGTATTCCTTCAAAACATGGTCCACTCAGACTCAATGTCCCCCTCCTCC